ATACAAATAAACGTATTCATTCTACAATACATCATAATTATTACTTGGATAAGTAAATGCTTTATGAATCTCTTTTACTGGTTCAGGTATATTGCATAAGTGTATGATTTCCAGGGTCCCAAAGCTTTGATGATATGAGCTGGAATGTAGGGATGTGCATGGGCTTCGGCAATTCAGACCAATGGCATGCGGTTCGGTTTGGCACTCCGGAAATTCGGCAATTCAGCAATTCGGAACTTTGGCATTTCGGAACTTCGGTAATTCAGACCCTAACCCTTAATCCTATCCCCAATCCCAAATCCACTTCGTCATTTACGACCTTCGGCAATTAGGTTCAGCAATTCGGCAATTCTAATTTCGAATTCGAATTGCATGAAATTCGTCCAAATGCACATTGGGAAACTAAATGAATTGCACATGTCTACTGGAATGTTATTGCTGGTTGCAGATGATGTTGCCCCTATACGAAGAGTGGCCTGAGTAGCAAGTTGAATTAAAGCCAAGTCTTCTTAATAACATACGGACATTAGCATAAAATTGGCAGTTGTGAGTGTGGAACCATGTAATTCCAATAATGATTGGTGTGGTTGTTTTTTAGTTGTGCTGAAATATTTATCCAACACTCTACTGGGCACAATTTGTTATGTGTAGGGTAGAAGGGTATGTTAACCATGCGGCCCATCTGGCTAGTTTTAGAGCGAGGAAGTGAAAGAATGTAGTGATCTAGTGATTTGTGCAAATTAAAAATTCTAAGGTAATCCGTAGAGATAAGGTTAATGGCGGTGAACTATCTTGGTCGTAGGAATCCGTAAAAGGCCAGATGTATTTTTTAGGTTTTAATCACCATATTAGTGAAAAGTTCAAAATGTGATGTGTCTAATAAATTGGATAAGTATTGGAACAATTTACTGGGATGGGTAGTCCTTTTGAGGGTAATGTAGTGTTAGATTTTTGGATTCCTTTAAGTAAGGTTTTAATCTGTAGGATGCTAAGAATTTTGTTTGAGTATTGTATCAGCATGTGATGTTGAATGCCCGTTAAGTAGAGTTTGATGGTGATGAAAGATAACTTAAACTTGAGGTGGCAAAAGGAAGTAAACCCCAACAAAGACTCCATAGCAAATTTATCCTGAATTTGATAATCAGATAAGAATTTAGTGAAAATGTAAAATGCCCTGTTATAAGATTTCCTAGTGTTAACTGAGAGTGTTAGGTGGGTAAGATTCTGTGTGTGACAACAAACCATTTAATCCATTGCACAGTAGAGCAGTGGAATGAATTTAGCAGCCTCCTGCCCACAGACTATGGGCCCCACAGGGAAACCTGTAAAAGACTACCAAACTTGACCGAAAAATTATGACTTCCAGGAAATTCCTGAACCCCTGAACTGATCTGGGTGATTTCTGGATATGTTGGTCACCCAGTTCAGGGCAATCAGGGGGTGTTGCTTTTGTGGGGATATCATGTGTTTTGTGGTACTTTTGGGACTTTTAAAGAAATTTATGTTTTTTCTGTGATTGGAGATAATTGGATTAGAATTAGTACAGTTACTGATCCAATTATCTCCCAAGCAGAGGGGGGGGATTGTGTGTCATGTGTGGGAGTGCCTTACATTGTAAATGTGTTATTATTGGTTTGTAAGGTTGTGTCCCTGTCCCCAACAAGGTCCATGTGGGCGTACACCTTGCTTGGAGATTGTCATAAAAGGCCAGTGTGGCACCATTAAAATCTATTCCAGCTTACACTCCAAAACTGTGTGTCATCCTGTTATTGTAGGAAAAGAAGATTTAGTCCTGTGTCTGCTGTTCCAGCTTGCAGGGGTTTCTCTGGGAAAAATCCTTGTAAGGACTCCAAACTGTGCAGGGGTTTCTCTGGGGAAAATCCTTGTAAGGACTCCAAAACTGTGTGTCATCCTGTTATTGCAGGAAAAGAAGATTTAGTACTGTGTCTGCTGTTCCAGCTTGCAGGGGTTTCTCTGGGGAAAATCCTTGTAAGGACTAGAGCTAATTCCCCATTCGGCTCCAGGAAGGAGCGGTTGCAGGGCCCCAATCAAGCCACGATGACTGTGGGCAGCAATGCTGCGGTTTGTCCCCTGTTCCAGCTAGGAAGCGGTCCTTTGGCGAAGGTACCCAGCCAGGGGTACAGGAAGCTCCATTGCACAAACTTTTTAACATGCGCCTTAGCAAAAATAATAAATGCTGGAGAGACTGCGGTCATATTGGTACATTACTCCACGTCTTCTGTTCGTATCCCAAAAGTAAAACTCGTTGGCTGAAAATTATCAAATTCATTAATCACATATTAGAATTTGATATAGTGTTCCTCTCCTCTCCAGATTTGCACCCCGGTTTTCTTCTCTAATTCCCTTCTCCTCCTTCCTCCCTCCCTCCCCCCCTTGGTCACTCCTATATAGCAGTACACAGTGTTTGATTGTTCATTATAAGTTTCCAGCATACATCTTTCAATTCTCCGTCCATAAAACTTGTCCAGGGGCAGAACATTTTGCCCTTTACTGTCATGCTGCAGAGCATATTACATTGCCACTACAGGGTTACATATCTCACATATTCACTGTATTGACTGAACCTGAAAGTCTATAGAATGTGCAAGGTTGTGGACAGAATATTAGCTAAAGTAAAATGCCTATTTACTCCATTTAGTTATAATCAGTATTATTCAATAAATTACTAAAATGACCACTAGATGTCACTCAGGAGTACCCCATCCATCGACTAAACACTCTCATTTTCAAGATGGCGCTGGAATCCGGGGGAGAACTTCATGACAACAGTAATGACATAAGATGGCACACCCAGTAGGACGTGCTTTGAATAAAACACTTAACACTTAACCAATTATTGATGTATTCTTCTCTGTTATCTGTAAATATGCATATGATGTATTAGTGCTTTATAAGGGGGTCCAACCCCCGAAAATAAACATTCCAGAGTATTTCATCAACTGGGAAACATGTGTCAGGTGTGATTTACTTTGGAAAGCATGCAGCACCATAACCAATTTGAAAAGGGGCAGATACGCAAGATAATTAATTTATTTATTGATTGATTGATTTCCACATCATGCAACTTAACCCTCTACATGCCAGAGACCTCCATAGCATCATTTAACCCTCTACATGCCAGAGACCTCATAGCATCATGCCAGAGACCTGCAGAGTATCATTTAACCCTTTACGTGCCAGAGACCTGCAGAGCATCATTTAACTTGCAGAGCACTATGTATCCTGTGCTATCAGACCCGCAGAGCACCATGTATCCCGTGCCATCAGACCTGCAGAACACTATGTATTCCATGCTATCAGACCTGCCCCCTACGGAACCCTTCTTTTCCCTCTGAACCGCTTCATTCCATTACACAATCAGTACCTAAATAACTTTCTTTGTCCATCGGCACTTCGCAGCCCCTTCCGTCAACACCAAGCACTCTAACTCACGAATCAATAGGCACGAACTCGGTCATTTCCCTAACACAGTAATTCGTACTGCCATCTACTGTCAAAATTGCTAACTGCATAAAGCCTATAAAGCCTGGGCAAGCAGGTTATGTATTTATGGCATGGTATGTTTAATTACGTATGAAATCTGTTAGTGACGCTTTAAAGTAATGTGGCATTGGCTAGTCACATAGAGTATCAAGTAGTCCTAATGTAGGTAAATTCATAAATATGGTCAATTATTCAGAATTCCTATATATAACAAATAACGCTCATTTGGCATTATGTCCTTTCAGCATTCAGGTCATTACCTTTGTCATTGGTTTCTTTCGTACATGGTACATCAGTCATTAATACATGTTCAAGCAGGTACGCTAGCATCTACAGAATACACGATCTGTACCTAATTAATCTTAATTCACATTGCTATTTACTGCCCCTATAAGGCCACGTGACACCATGAAGGGGTTATTAACATAGGGAGCTTGATTTCTCGCCTTGCCTCATCAGGCCACGGCTTCACTCGACAACTTGTCATACGTTATCATGAACTCTCTATCTCGCAATAAACATCCTGAACTCCTTTAACACCTTTCATTCCTTCACCATTTTCCCTCCATCAATACTATCACGCTTTAAGCACAATCATTTTAAGGATCACCATATAGGGATATTAGTAATGCTAAACAAACAGACACTGGTCACACCTGCTATACCTAGTTTCTTTCCAGTATTCCATCCAATCTATTGTATCATGCATTAACAACATTGTCCATTCTATTAATGTACTATTCTGGTAATTAATTATGGGTATATAAGTACACAAGTTATATGGAAGTTGCCTATTACCGTCTACTAAACAACATCTGTTTAAATTAATATTTTACATGATTGGCGTAATTTAATACCACTAATTAAGGAGGAGGCTGTTATATAATTAGAGGTCACCTAAAGGATATAATTTCCCTTCTAAAATAGCACCTTAATTCAGGTTCAGACAGCATTCTACCAGTAGACGGTTACTGGTTCTTTATTGTCTCCTGTCTCTATCAGGTACACACATTCGTTCACATTTCAATAAACTGCCTCAACAAGGCCACACATTTATACAATGGGGTATTAGGGTACAGGGGCATGATTCCCACCTTGCCAGGCCACAGCTCTACTTGACAACACGTTGTACGTTTATTCAAACTCACTATCTGTAGAAAATCATCCTATTTTTAACCTTGCACATTTCACATTCCACTTTCCGCCACGTACTATCATGCTTTCACGGCACGACGCCTTCCTAAATCTATTTTGCAGGGATATATAGTAGCTACCAGGGGAATCTTCAGCACCCTCAGGACCTAAATTTACAATACTATCAACTATGTATCTAAGAACTACACGGTGCTAAACATAATTGCTCTCTTTCCTCTCCCTCCACCACAGCTCCTTTCCTCATCTGTAGTGATGTCCCGAACGGTTCGCCGAACGGTTCGCCACGAACGGTTCGCCACGGACTCATCATTGAGTAAACTTTGACCCTGTACCTCACAGTCAGCAGACACATTCCAGCCAATCAGCAGCAGACCCTCCCTCCTAGACTCTCCCACCTCCTGGACAGCTCACTAAGAATGCAGCTTCACAATGAATGTAAAATGGATGCTGTCCAGGAGGTGGGACAGACTGGGAGGGAGGGTCTGCTGCTGATTGGCTGGAATGTGTCTGCTGACTGTGAGATACAGGGTCAAAGTTTACTCAATGACGAGTCCGTGGCGAACCGTTCGTGGCGAACCGTTGCGAACCGTTCGGCGAACCGTTCGGGACATCACTACTCATCTGTCTTCTTCCTTGCTCTCACTTCCTTTTCCTCTTTATCTGACCTAGAGGCCGCAAGGCTCCTTTCACAAGCACGACTCCATACGCCTATACGTTACATCACCCCCTCATCAAGCCCCCGTCTAGGGTCAGAGAACTGGCTATATAGGGTTAGGAGCTGGCCTTAGTTCTACTACTGTCACATCATGCCTTGTTCTGCGGATCAGTCTGGTGATGGCTTCTGGTATCCAGTACTCTTTTTACAATTCTTGTTTAGTTTTTCTTAGTTTTCTGGTTTTCTATTCTGTGTCTTGTTTTCTTTATGCTGGGTTTCTGGGTTCATTCTTATATTCCGTCCCTGGATTTCCCAGTCTCTTGGATTCATTTAAATGTTTGTTTTATGTTGCCACACCCATTTGTTTTCCATTTTCCTTTTGTTTCAGTCTGGACCTGCAGCAAATGTTTCAAGTCTCTGCCCTTTCTTGCAGGTAAATGCTATTGTGGTTTAGTATGGTTCTTTTAGCGAACATTAGGCAGTGTAGGACCTGCTGAATATGGGGTACATTGGCGTTGTGGCAGGCTTATGCAATGTATGATCATATAATGTAACTAAATCCCCATATTTTTCATATATAGTACTTAATTATTTCTCCTCTTGTTTTGCCTATCATATCTTGTCTTGTTTTAGTTTGTATCCCCAGTCCATGTACAGTCCTGTCCTGTCCTGCCCCTGTTTAGTTAATATTCCCTTATGTATTGTGTACATGTTCTGGGTTTAGCTTCCTATCCTTCTCTGGTTCTGGGTTCTATTAGTTATGTCTTGTTTTCATGTTTGGTGACTATCCTAGCCTTGCCTTGTTTCTGTACTGGATACATGTCTGCTGCAGAGCCTCTCTATCCAATTCCTGGGAGGTCTGCATATCAAGCTCCTAGTTCCTGGGATCCGCTGTAGCTGCATCAGGGTTCTGGTTTGTGGCTGCACAAGTGCTGGTGCTCAACACCAGGGGGCGTGTGGTTACCCTGCACCAGTGCCTGATAATCCACTTCCATGCTGAAGACTCCCAACTTCTCATCAGGCACTCAGGGGTCCCGGTTTTCGTACCGTCACTTGTGACAACTGCGTAGCTGGTCCCGCGAGGCCAACTCCCCAATCTCAACACAGAGATTTTTGCCCCTAGGCCCAAATCATTTTTATAGTCTCTCATTTACCCACCTATCGGATTTATAGTCAGGGCCTCACCTGTCACGGCCTCACGTTTTTGGATCTTTTACTGTCACCGAGAGGCCGTCACCCCACCACCATGCTAAGGGCTCGAGCCCCACGCCCAAATCATAGGTAGAGGCTCTCACCAGCCGCTTGGCAACTAGCTTGGCAACTAGCAGGGCCTCACTTGTCATTGTTTAGAGCGTTTTTCGCTTCGGCACTAGTTAGCCAGCCAGTTCTACACTTCTCAATCATATTGTTATTAATCAGTTCATTGGTATTGTGGTATTCTTTTTCAGTATGTCCCAAGAAGGCAACACCGAACAAGAACTTTCCCTACCTTGTGCAACCACTAAGCCAGACACTGAGAATGCTGTGATGGAGGGCCAGCTCACAAGGAGAAACCTCAGACATTATAAGAAATCTAAACTCCATTCTGGCTACGCTTCAGTCATTCATTAATAGACTGGATACCTTAGAGAGCTCCAATACGGCTCAGATAGACCCTCCTTCCGCAGGGTCCATACACTCACTTAATCCCACTTACGCACAGGGTTGGCCCCCCGCATCACCTTTCAGTCCCCCTCACTTTCCACCTTTCAACACAGACATATGTAGTCTTACCAACTGCGAATAAACAGTAAAGTCTGGGTGCTAAATGGTGCTTATTAAAACAGTGTGTATAAATATGCTTCACACTCAGGTGTATTCCCCAAATTCACCAGTAAAGAATATGGAACACAGTATTAAAAAATTGTATACAAACTCATTAGGTATTCGATGATTTCTTCCAAGAAATAATGGAATATGTAAGAGAAAAAAACGCAAAAAATGCAATGATCGTGCAGATTGTATTAAACTGACACTCATTTGTCAATTAACATGTGTTTGATAATCCTATTTGTGCATAACCTTAATTGCAGATAATCTTATATGCAGATAATCGATTATATCTATCCAACTATGATATAATATAGCATCAAATGCAGAATGCTAGCAAAGTTGAACAATGTATTATCCACTACATGCAGAGTTAAAACCAAAACATAAACAGAAAGATAGTATCAAAACAGAGGGTCGCTAGCCTCTTACTGAATGAGGTGGTGAGTTAGACCGGCTTCCGCCGTTACTCACTAAAACAGCTTGTGGTAAATCAATGGATGATCAGACTATGACTTTAGCCTTTATAAGCCCATAACCGACATGGCGGTCAGCAGCACGTCCTAAGGAAGCCGTCTATACGACGAAATGCGTCAACATCACACAAGGGGGAGGAGCTTGCGCAAGTCGGAACTCCAGGCGGGTAATTTCAACTCCGGTCTGTGTGTACTCGTTCACTGTCTGCAGCAGTTTGACTACAGCCCAGCCGAGCCAGAGGAGGAGACAGCAGCTCACCCATTGATTAACCACAAGCTGTTTTAGTGAGTAACGGTGGAAGCCGGTCTTATTCACCACCTCATTCAGTAAGAGGCTAGCGACCCTCTGTTTTGATATTGTCTTTCTGTTTATGTTTTGGTTTTAACTCTGCATGTAGCAGATAATAAATTATTCAACTTTGCTAGCATTCTGTATTTGATGCTATATTATATCATAGTTGGATAGATATAATCTATTATCTGCAATTAAGGTTATGCACAAATTGGATTATCAAACACATGTTAATTGACAAATGAGTGTCAGTTTAATACAATCAGCACGATCATTGCATTTTTTTTTTTCTCTTACATATTCCATTATTTCTTTGAAGAAATCATCGAATACCTAATGAGTTTGTATACAATTTTTTCATACTGTGTTCCATATTGCTCAACTCACTACTGCACATTACTTCACGTTTGCACCATATGCCTCGGGGCTCATGGTAAAACCATCTGCCCATATTTATTATGAGTCATGAGTACAGAGGATATAAGTTTGACGTTATTCACGAATCACATCTGTCCCCGCACTTGGTGATTAATCATTATACATGAGTTTCACATTGGGTTGGGTCACTCCCAGTAGGCACCCTGTTACATTCTCCTCGGTTAGACACGTTTTTCATATACTGTAACTATTAGCTATACTCTAATAAATTACGTCTCATCATTGATCTGCCTGTTCCTCCTTCAGGAACCTATGCATTAAATCCCTCATATCATCCACCTAATTCTCAAACAGTCTTGTCGTCATAGGTTCATGCCAATTACGGTACCTTAAAGTCAAGTCTCCCGAGGATAAGATTGTGGGCATTTGTGAAGACCAACAAGTCCCTTCAGTGGGGTACTTGGAATTGAAAGACGGTCAATCATTTGTTGGGTTCTTGTACGGCACTATGCGCACTATCCCGCTGGACTGTTCATTCATCTACTGGTGCACTCACTGTCAGGCCTGCCTGATGGAGATAGTGTTATTAGGTCCTCTGCCATGGCAGTCCTGGTCAGGTAGGGGGAGTTATTAGAGCTAGGAATTGGGTTTATGAGTTTATTCCGCCTGGTTCTGACCAACTCCCAATTTGTACATATAAAACCACTTTGGGTGGCAGCACCCAAATAACTTTTAGGATTTACTGACCAAGAGTCACTTGGCCTCGTAACTCACCCAACTGTCAAACACCCGATTCAACTTCCGCACCTGGTCGCCCGGCTCTTGGGACGACAACAAGTTATCACCTATAACTTTACTCGCTTTCATCAAGAATACAGACGACAGAGAAGTGACATTTTTTCCAAGACTCAGTGGAATACAACATCCACAAGCATTACGTTCAAACTGTAGTCTATTATGCATTTTTTGCCACCTTTCATTTTTTATTCAACACTAGTACATAACAACAATCAGACATACAACAACATGTTTTGTCAAGCCTTTCAACCATACCCAATCTTCTTAAATGCTTTCCATAAAGATGGTAAAGGTATAAGTAATTGGTTCATCACTCCACAATAACATACATTGATGGGAATTCTGAGGAAAATTAGACTCCCTAGACAGCATCCATACCACATAACCCGGTCTTAAACCTCTGGGCCTTTATACTTTCCAAGGATTACGGAGCATAAAACATCACGATCACTGCTAATTCAGACTAGCAATTACGTCCCCTCAAGGAAGATTAAGAAGGTACAGACACTAACTCATGACACGCCAACATTCAATCCAGACAGCTAAATTATCCCCTAACTAAAAAATGGTTCTACATTCGTACTCCTTGCATTAGATTAAGTTGGGACCCTTACTCCAATTAGGACATCCATTCAATAAGTACCGCATCCAGTAGCAGTACGTCGGTACACGTAATTAGGTTCAAGAGAATTAGCAACATTATACAGAACATTCCACAACGGATAAGAGGTAAGACAAACAAATCTTATGGGATAATTATATATATTACAATAAGTGTGTATTTTGCATTTTTCTTTTGCCCTCTTTTACAGGCCTAACCCCTACGTCGGTTCCGGAACACCACGCCGACTTAATTCCAATCACAAGGTATTTCACAATAACGATATTAACCGACCACAAGTTTAAGGCCGAGGCCTGTATTTGTGGGAGGAGTTATCGTTCCTATATAAACGCTACTCCCCCCTTCCTAGACGTACGCCAAAAAATGGTTGTTAAAGACTGCGGATGTACCTGGTACGTAATTTAATAAATCAGCACTTACCTGATCGCTGGCAATCGCGATCCTGGAGTCTGCCTGGGAGCTGAAGCAGACCCCACTTCCCGA